GGCATCGCCTTTCGATTATCGGGCAAAATTTCTTGCAGGCAAAAAAATTAATAGCGGCGATGCCTGCCAAAACCCTAAGACTTTGCATGGACCAGCTATGTAACCCTTGTGGACCGACTATGTTACCCCCACCCCCACGGAATTAATTTGTTCATATCAAAACTATTGCAAAATGTCAAAAGCTGTGTTTCCCCCACTCCCATAGAATACGATCTTTTTATATTCAGACACAATTCGAAAAAATATCGATCGAGAATATCATTTTTATGTTGCAAATTGTTACAAATATGAATGAAACATTGATTATTTTGCACTTACAACGAATGGGCCGCAATTTAACGAAACTATGTAAATCGTATCGATCGACGAAGTGTGAATGGAATTTATAAGAATTTTTGCAACCGTTCAATTTTTTATTCTATTTGGTCTGTATCCTACATGCATATAACATCAAGTATTAAAAGGCAGTCTCTGTAAAAGCGGTCCACTGCATTTCGGATCAGGAAATAGTTTTCTCCCAAACTTTTACCGTGAAATGGCACATACCAGTGAGTTATGAAATTAACTTTGGTTTTTCGATTTTCATAAAAATAATTTTTTTACAGCGCTTTAGTTCCAGGCGACCGTCTTCGCTGAATTTGTACTTTTCGTCGACTGAAAATTACACATAATTAAAACATTACAGCTCACGCTATATAGAACTCTGCACCAAGATCTTTTTCCCCAGTCTTGTTCATTTATTCAAGTGCAAAATTCAAGCAAAAATTTGAATGTCGAAAAAAATACGGGGGGAGAAAAAAATACGTAATGATACTCGTTTTACGGCTTTCTTAAAAACACGACAAACTGACCCTCAGAAAATAGCTTTGATCTCCTAAGTCCAGCATTGAAAACCTAAAGCTTCTATACCAATCTACTAATCTAAGAATGTATAAAAAGGATTGATAAAAACATTTTGCGCTTTTTATTTAATTAAATTCTGCACAACAACCTCGGACTTTCTGTGTTTTTGATGCAAAATTACATTTGTTTAATTAGGCGGTAAATATAAACTGTAATGAAAGACTGTTTATATTGCATTCGGATTTAAAGCATTAAATATTTTCTTATTTTCAAATATAAAGTTCAAGAAATGTATTACTAAATGGTGCCGGACGGCCGGCTTTGCTATATTGCTGAAGTGTTTTATTGTTCGTGCAAAATACTTGACTGTTTAATGTTTATTATGCAAGCTTAATATTTTACCAAAATAGAATTTCAAAACAGCAATTCCATTTTTTTACTCATGAAGTTCTAGTTCGGATAAAAACTTGTTGCAGGAAGTATATACAAATATATTCGATATTCTTATATCACTTAATTGACTACTTAAACGTTGGAAAAATAACCAAAACACATCACATGTGCATATATATATATACCATGCACGACGAAATTGACATCTTACTGAACGTGACTTTATATATATTTTAAGGCTTAAAGTGCCTATGACATGAAATTTTTTATTTTCTTAAATGAAAGAACTCTTTAAGTTGTAGTGTAACTTATTTTTCAGTTTCTTGTTTTTGTGATTTGTTCCCGAGATATTTCAATTTGTTTGATATGTAAATGAGTGTGAACATGTCCGCTATTTTATGACGTCATGTTGGTTGCAAGCTC